TGTGAGCAATGTCATTGCCTCCGCGGCTGGAGTCCCTTACTTGAAAATTTCCGACGCACACGTCAATATCGCGAATGCTAAAAGTGTGTATATGTTTTATATGAAAAAATTAATTTAAAAAAAATGTGCTTCAAGCTCAAATAAACTATCATATAACTTGCCAAATTTTAACATTTAAAAAATTTTAAATATTTATTCTTTCCAAATTTCTGTATAAAGTTAAATTTTAGATAATACAAAACTTTGAATGAGAAAAAAATTGCAGTAAAAAATTGTGAAATAAAAACGTATAGGATAAACTAATTGTCTTTATTGCCTACAATAAAAATTTAAAATATCCAACATCAATTTTTTGAGAGTGTGTAAAAAATTAATTGGACCTTAAGATATATGCTTAAAGATAGCAGATCTAATATAAGAGAAGAAATATATATAATGTCTACATAAAATGGAAATTAAAATAATGAGATAACAAAGAGTTTGATAAAATTCTGTTTGTCAAAGAAGATTGTTGTGGAGAATACATTAATATCTACTTTTTCACTTACTTCTAGTATTAACATAAAACGTATAATATTTTGGATATTATATTATATCATATTTTGAACTACTTGAGAAATATTTTACAAATTTTATAATTATCTTAAAAATATATAAATATTTTGTAATAAAGTAAAAAAAGACAATATGTTTTATAAAGTTCCACCTCAATAGATATTGCAATTTTGAAAGTAATTGTTATATAATAATTACTTGTATAATGCGACGGCAACTTGCATAACCGCCTTAGTTTATCTATGCGTGTACTTCTGTTTTCAGGATAAATAAGAAGCAGGATACGCTCATTAGTAATGATATACTTAGTCTACTTATGATCATAATGGATCTGCGATGTTGCTTAGAAGAATCTCCAACATTTGATATACTGAATAAATACAAAGAGCGATCCCCGTAAGTCGGCTTACGTAACTTGTCTTTAAATATTGCGACGCTTGAATTTAAAGACGCGACACAAAGAAACCTAATCATTGCGCGGACATTATTGCATAAGCCTCTTATTCTTATATCGTAAAAATCCCGTTATCGTTGAATTACACGTGTAACATATTTAAGTTTATTAGTGCCTTTACTATATATACCTTTACTTTTTAGTTAAACTTAACGTTATATTTACATTAAGTGTGACTTTTGTCTTACAATTAGAATTATTAATCTTAAATTAATATTACATACTATCTCTTAAAATAGTAAAAAGAGCAGTAGGTAGTAGAAGTAGAAATAAATTAAATTCTCATAAATCCTTTTTTATTGAAAGAATTAATTTTGCGGTCGTATAAAATGTAAAATCAGGATTTACACGAAAATTACTTTAATTTATATTTCCGGTGCTATTATTACATCGTGATAATTTATAAATACTTCATCGAGAAATCAAGTCGTGCTTCTGATTGTGTCGATTATGTAAGCACTTATGCGCGATTAAATGCGTGCAAAAGAAGGTAATTTTCTGCGTCAATGCTAAGCTGCAAGAAATACAACGGGATACCGACGAACAAGTTCATTCATTAGCGCGATTATTCTTCAAGTACACTATAAAAAGCGCTTTTCTTGTCTGTTCGATTGAATGCCAAGGTCCGCCTCGGATGATCGATCGCTTGCTCACCGCGAGCAATCGACCCGATCGTTAGAACGCGTTCTTCATAACGCAATTTCTCGTTATGTATTAGATTAAATCTAAATTAATACTACACAAGTCCTAATCAATCGCATGACAAGCACATGTTAAATTAAGCTGCTTTTTCCAAAAATATAGTTGGGACAAAACTTTTATTCATTGAGTATCTGAACTTTTGATATTTAAAGACGCGATGCGAAGATATCCAATTTACGCGGACATTGTTGTATAAACCTCTCTTATTCTTACGTTAAATTTTTAAGTATTGATGGTTGATTTAACATAATCACTTTTATCTTCAGATTACAATGCGTTAATTAAACTAAATTTCTCGATATATCTTGAATCGCAAATTTACAAAAATTCAAAAATATTTATACTATTTAGAAAAAGCTGTTTTGAATATTCAGCATTTGTTAGTACAAAAATAGAATTTAATAGCAAATTGAAAACCAAAGCTATCATTTATTCTTAAAAAATCAAGTATAGTTTTGTATCTTCGAAATTCCTAAAGATGCGCTGACGCACATCGATCAAAGGTTCGATGCCGCGTGCGCATCCAGGCGCGACAGACGGTTGCTGACCTTCGTTGGAAAGAAGACGAACAGTATGGAACGAGGGAAAAAGAGAGAAGAAGAGAGAGGACTGCCAGTGCCGAGTTCGAGAACCGAGTTAACGGAGCATCATACGGAGCGTATACTATTGTCAGCGCTCACGTGAAAATCGGAGCAAGAACTGTTGCTGCACATGTTGTCGAGCTTGTGCATTCTCGGCATTCCCGAGAATTGGAATCGTGACAGATAGCGTGTCAAGGGAGTAAGAGTGTACGGATTGTTCAGTCTTCACGGATGATGAATGATAAATTAGTGAACGTCTTATTATCAAGGTACTTCTCTCTCAATATGCGAAAATTTGGCAGAAAATTATTCTCCTTTAAAGCATGTAAAATGCTGTTAAATGTACCAAATATACTTCGAGAAACAATTAATATCTTTAATTAATGTAAATTTGAACATGTAAATTTAATGACTCCATATAATACTTACATATATTTTATATAAAAATACTAAAACTGAATAAAATTCTACTAAAAATCATTATACTTATTTATATTTTATATGCGTAGAACTAGACCGTTATTTATATTCCGACGAACGATTCTTGTTTTCACCTTTAATTAATATAAAAAAAAAAAAATAATAACAGAGATCTTTATTTTCAAGATATTGTCGACATATTCCCCATTCTTTCAGGCAATAAATTCGTGTAAAAAGTAAATTAATCGTTTTCAGCATGATATTGATCCATCCAATTCTCGCGTGATGCGGCGAACGCCCAATTTATGTAGAGATACTGCGACGATCTTCCTCTTGGTTGCATACGGAGCACGATATAACTGCATCCGGCCGGCCGCTGGCCAACCACGAAGGGAGAAGCCTCGGGAGAAGCGAAAGGCGGGAAGGGAAAGAATACAGCTTAAACGGCCGCATCGCGAACGCGTCGCGCGGACTGAGCTGCGCCGGTGCAGCTGCAACGGTCGACGCATCGTCGTTGCAGCGCGCAGCGGAGTAGACGTCACCCATGCCGACGCGGCGTGGCGCGGCACAAACAGCCGCACGTTACGTAAAGGTCGGTCACCCGGCGCGTACTACTCTATCACGCCGCCGCGCCGCGTTGCGCCGCCGGCACCGCCACCGCGGCCGTCACCGCCGTTGTTGCTGGCATCGCATCACTGATGCTGCTTGCCGCGTGCAATTATCGTCTTCGTTTACGGGAACGGAAAGGTTGTCTCAATTTAGCGAGATCTCACAAAATAACCGTGGCTAATAATGAAATTTGAGTGTCACTTGCATGTAGAATTATTATCTTTGTTTTGGAAGTGAGAGAACATCGTAAAATAATTGTACATAGAGGAGAGTCCCCTATTATGAGATACCATCATCTAATTTGCGTGATTGCTGAAAGTTTATGTGCAGAATTAAAAACTGTAGTAGGCGAGATCGTGCACGCACGATCAAATAATGAATTTTCCACTAAATAGGTTTTACTCTAACAATAAGGGCAATAATTTCATGATGAAACCAACAGATAGAACCTATTAGTTTAGCAGAAACCTCGCTATCGCATATTAGGAGCCTATCTCATAATAGGGAACTTTCTTCTACTAATAATAAGATTTTAATCATTAGTTGCACCACAAAGATATTATATACCTTTTATTTATGGAAATGAGGAAATTGCACTAATCTCTACATTCTCCGTTTTATATATGCATAATAATATTCTAAAAGATCTTTTACAGTTATAATAACGAGATTTATTTGCATAAAAAAATTTCTATCTTTGTGCATAGAATTGAGAAGATTGTTTTGGATTTTTAGTAGCACGTACGTTACAGAATAATTCTTATTGCGTTATAATAATCATATTACAGCATATAGTTTATATATATAGCTTAATAGAATTATCATATTTACTTGTGAGAATTTACTTGTGTATGAGAAAACTTCCGATGCAAAATTAAAGAATATTTATAACAAGGTAGAATTTTAACTACGTAATTTATATTAATGTATGATAATTAAGAATGTAATTATTAACTTTCAAGAGAAGAATTTTGATACATTTGTTTTGTAATTTACCAACAAAGGTAATTTAATTATTACGCCATATATAAAAAAGAAAAACTACATCTTTGTATTTAAAAATAAATAAAATAAAGTATGTACAGAAAGACAATATATTGCGCTATACGAGTTATCATTTTACTTATAAAATAGATTCAAAAAAGATTTCTTTTAAAATAAAATAATTATAAAACAATGTGTTCAAAGATTACTATATGCATATCAATCATTCTTCATATATAGAAATAAAATAAGAAGAAAATTCATTGAATAGTATGTGTAGGCTATTAAATTCGCTGCAAACATCAAAATGCTTTATTTGAACCATTCAGCAGACACTAATGATGATACGCCAGCCAACGAGATGCACAATGTATCAACAGCGTATGACATCTCGTTGGTTATCTGTGTGCTGCGGGGGTCATGTATATAGACTTACTTATATATATATATATATCTTGTCTTTCTATTCTGGCAACGGCAACGATCAATAATGCTCCACGTGTCGTACGTGGTGGAACGAACGTACGCCGTAATTCCTCCACATGTCATCTGCCAAATTATTCGCAGGTATTTCTCTTGGATGCGTCTTTTTGCATCATTTACGTTAATCGAGTGCTCGACCTTACCAGTAAATTAATGTGTGATAGTTCCACCTTTCGTGACCAAAATATAAGTCTTATCAATAATTTTTTCTTTTTTTAGAGATGTGCGAGGTAAAAGTGCAATAGAAGCGTTTCAATAAACTTACGAAGAAAACTTATAAAACATATATATCAGTGAAAGATCATCACA